AATATAACCAATGACTCAACATCACAAATTCTCTAATAAACAACTCTGTAAAGTGCACTGATATATAGATTATAAACTGAGAAATATATCAGCAATATCTCTGTGAGAATAACAATCTGCATAGTAAGATTACAAACAATGAAATATAAGTTATATATATAAATGCGACTGTATCATTAATACAGATGGTAGTAATAATGGTCGTTGAAAGGTATTATGACCATAAAAATGTTACCCTTAAATGTAATACAATTGTAAACGTGAACAATGCACACTGCGATGCTAACGGGCTAAGCCGTTCGTTAAACAGGATCAAATTACACTCAGAAAGATCGCTAAACTTCAATAACATCATAAACACTGTCGAGGTTAACACAATTGTGGTACACTGTAATAATCTAGGTAATTAACAATATACATCGAAGTAACTCACTTTGTCACGCACTTTCTCTTGCACATAAACGCTGCACCTGTGTGAGAGCACGCAGTATGACTGCCGTGCTGAGGTAACTTAGTGAATAGGCAGTTACGCCAAGACCGTACATGCGGTGAACCCTGCACTACGTTATTTACGTAAGTCATTACTGAAACATCACGCAGATCGCAAGTCTTAAACTTAAAGGGAAGAATTCACAACAGTCATAATAATACAATATAATACTTTTATTATAACAAATAATCACCAATGATTGACTGTTGTGATGACAGGTCTTTTATGGGTGTGTAATCAAATACAGCTCTCTGATACAAAGTACGTAGATTAAAGTAATAAAGTGACATCAATTTAAAGATTAAATAATGAATTTCAAACTAATATTAAATATTTAGTCCACCGAAATCCATTGATACAAATAAAGTGCGACCAGGTTAAGTTTCAGGTGAAAAAAACATGTCATAAACTGTTAAACTTACAGAGCCACCAAAATCACTTAAAACTCTGTCAATGGAATTATATCCAAGTCCCGATATTGAAATAATTTATAGAGAAATGAACTGCATTAAAACATCATTGTAAAGCATGTTCACCAACTGCTCTGAGTATTTCAGGGTGACGCTCGATAACTTCAGTCTGACTGAAGCATATTTCAATTAAGATATGACAGGACACATATTTCTTGTCTTTCCTATCTAAACGGGAGCCTGCACATCTAAGTATTTTTATTGTAATATCTGTATTCAGTAATATTATCTAATTACTACAACACACAAATTTGGCATTGTTCAATTTTGGTTTATTTGTTAGATGTTTTTATTCTGTTTTAACTTCATACAAATACAAATTTTCAGTGATTCAACACCTTGTGATCTGAAGCTGTAACGGTTTGTTCCAAAATCCAAAAAGGAAAGTGAAAATATACAAAACTTTGAGCCAAATGGTGTGTTCTATTAACTATTGGGTCTCCTATTTTCCATCCAATCTTTCAAAAAAAGTTTTTTATTCTAAATACGATTCCAAATAGGTATGTGGAGTGAATGTTAGCTATACAGTAACTTTAAAGTATGGAATGATTCCATGAAAACCAGATCATTCACGTGCATAAAGAAATCACACTACAAAAGAAAATACATTTGACCTACATTATTAAAATTCCTCTGCAAACACAAAACCAAAATCTGCCATTATTTACTAACTTTATTTTCTTGTCAGAAAGGAAAGGATTGTGCAGAATAGATACATCTAGACAAAGACTCCAGTTTAGTAAGCAGTATCCAACCAAAAAAGGAAACATTTCAGTAATCTGTCCACTTTAATAGATCATTTAAAAAGATTGGCATATATAAACTAGCTAAACAATAAAATGTTATGCAGAAGTTTATATTATAGGTAAAAAATATAACATTTAAAATATTTATTTCTCTTCAGTAGTCAGGCTCATCATGCTCTCTAATGTAAAACTTGTCATGTTATATTAATATACACTGAAAGTTAATATGTAAAAATAAAGTGTTATTCATCAATTGATCTCATTCTCACATGCTTGTGTATACTGAGTGTTACTGAGTGTACATTGTAACCAATACAGCAAATTCAAAACAACTCCAAATAATACAGTAAATTCAGGTCCTCTGATGCCAAATTTATACTGCAAAGGTGGCACAGAAGCACTTCTCAGGTGGCATTTATGTGTCTTTACACAGACTGTTTAATGCTGCTCAGAGGTGGCATAAATGCATTTACAAATATTAGTCTGGCTTTTATGCTGCATTACATCAAATTTTGAGCAGCCTTGGCTGTGTGCAGATGCCTTAACGCATAATTGTGGAAATATGACGACATCAGCAATTCAAAAGAACAGACCCACAAAAGATACAAACAAGAAAATGATGTGAATTCAGTGTGACCACAGTGTGTCTCTTGAGTCTCTGTTGATTGTGTGACTGTGTGTCTCTGTAGCGGCTCCTTATTCACCATCAGCTGATCCTGAGGAAACGTCTAAATACTGAGAGTCCTACAATAAAACACACAGACAGTCACATATGAGAATGTCTTAAAGATGTTCTGAATCCAGTCATCTAGACATCACTATTTGGCCCTTGTCAAAGTCACTTATATCTTATTGCTTGCCCATTTTTCCTGATTCCAAATATGTAATTGATGAAGTGACTGTTTACTTGCTGACTAATATTCCACCCCTTGACAGGTGCCATTGTAACAATATAATCAGTGTTATTCACTTGACCCATCAGTGGTTTTAATGTTGTTGCTGATCAGTGTATGAGTCCTGTTCCTAAATTTGGGCCAATTTAAAAGCTTCAAATAAAAATATACTCACAATAGAAAAATACTTTCAGTTCATAATGTCGATCAACCTTCAGATCAGAGAGCAGCTTCACACCAGAACCTCTTAGTTTATTCCCCGACAGACCCAGTTGTCTCAGGTGTGAAGGGTTTGATCTCAGAGCTGAAGCCAGAGCAGCACAACCTTCATCTGTGATACCACAATCACACAACCTGGAGAGAACATGACACAAAGTGAACTGTCATTCCAGTGTAATTTGTTATTGTCTCTGGTCTCAGAGCAGGAGATGAGATATAATGACAAGCGCTGCCACATACTGCTGCTGATAGAATGCGATTTATGCATGTTTATGTTAGTGCTGTAAGTAAGATGTAAGTAAGTGCTGTTTCTAATTAGTTGTGGCAACTCTGTCTGATATATGTTGGCGCATGTGCACATGTGATCAGAGATGGCCTATAGTGTGTGTGTTGGCAGCTTTGCTGCTGTGAAATAAATGTGTTTAAATAAAAGTTCCTTTTCAATGCATGTGGAGTTTATTTATTAAAAGGTAGAACCATGAGCAAAACGGTGTCAGAAGTGGTGGAGCTAAAGGAACGTGTGGAATATATAAAAAGAGTAGAGAAGAAAAGTTTGCGGATTACATGCACACATGTGACGAGACAACACTGAGGAGATGGAAGGATTAAAGCCACCCCGAAGCTCCAACTCTCCGGTAATGTTGCTGAAAATTGGAGACGATTTAAACAAACATTTCTGCTGTATTTATCTGCAGTTGATGGAGGTCTTAAGTCAGAGAAAATGAATGCATCATTATTTCTTCATGTGGTTGGTGATGAAGCATTGGAAGTATATAATAATTTAACTTTTTAAGAAGGAGAGAGTTTGCGCCAGTCCCTCCAGGATTTTGCGATTCTGCGATCACTGAATTTATCGCAAAATCAAGCAAACTTCGCAATTTTTGCAAGAGCTCGCAAATTTTCATAATTGCAGTAGATTTTGGGCTTAGACGCGTCCCGTGACGTCACCGCAACGAGCATTCAGTCAAAGAAAGGTTCCAAAAATGGGGGGCGCGCAAGATGGCGACCGTGGAGGATGTTAATCTGTGAGGTCGAGAAGTTTCTTCTCCCAATTCCCACCCTTTGTATTAATTATATTAACCTGATCGAGTAATAACTCTGTAATCTTGTTTACTCCACTTTTGAGCTGTATTTGTTGTTGTAAATATATCTCATCAATAAGTTTTAATCGCCATTACCATGCAAGCTAATTGACGTCACTGCAAGCTATGGCTGGAAAACACAAAGAGAAACAAAGTTCCAAGAAAGACCCTCAAGAGGTGTGGATGGATGCTGAACAGGAAATCGCGGAGGTGCATGATTATGCACAAATCCAACAGCAAGTGAAATTTTGCTTTCTAAAGGTTTGACAGAACTTGATTCGTCTCCGCATACCCCCGATTCAAAGAAATCAAAGAACGAGCCATCCCTCCTCAACCTGCAAAATAACATCGTCAGAATGCTGACAGAAAAAATTTACGAAAGAGCTGACAGTTTGGAAAAAAAAGAATTAAAAAGAACTCTGACGGGATTGAGGCTCTCCAGAAATCCACCGAAATTCTTGTCTCGTGAGATCAATGACATCAAAGCACATCTGACTGGACTGAAAACATTGAGCATTACCCATGACAAGATAACACTGGATCTGGAAGTTAAAGTGAATGAAATGGAGAGGTTTCATGGTCTTGCCGAACATGAAGGCAAAGACATTAAACAGAAGGTCGTGGACATCTGCGCTGCAGTGCTGCCAGAGGAAAAGGGAAAGTTTGCTGCCGAAATTGACGTGGTTCATCGTGTGGGAAGGAGGCTCAACGTGAACCAGAGGCCAAGAGCTGTGATTCTCCTGTTCAGATCTAGGCATATCAGAGACTTGCTGTGGAAAAGTGCAAAGAAAAGCAGTTTTTTGAAAGAAAAGAAGTTGAGATTTGCTGAAGATCTGACGGCAGTTGATAAAGAAACCAGGAGGCAGCTGTGGCCAAGTGTTGAAGCTGCACGAAAAGAAGGCAGGAGGGCTTATTTTGTTGGGACCAGAGCATTTGTGGATGGGAAGGATATTTTTGTGAAGTAGGCAATGACATTTATGTTTGACTCGAGTTTACAAATGCCTACAGTATGCCATCAGGTGAACATTAATGTTATGCGGGGGTTCGGAGATGTAAACTTCTGTTCTGAAGTTCTTCTATGAGTATGTGTTCACTCGCTGTTTTTACACTTAATGTTAGAGGTATGAGAAAGTTACTTAAAAGAAAAGCAATCTTTTTGTTTTGTAGAAAATATTTTTGCGATTTTTATTTCATCCAAGAGACACATGCATCTGAATCAGACTTTCAGTTTTGGAAGAGCCAGTGGGGAAACGATATGTGGATGTTGTATGGTAGCAATCATTCTGCAGGTGTTGCAATTTTGAAGGGTAAATTTAGAGGAAAAATTGTTAAAAGTTATTCACATTCTTTGGGCAGATGGGTCATTTTGATTGTCGAATTCAACCAGCAATATTTTGTATTAGGGAATATATATGCAACGAACAGTGCTGTAAGGAATACAAGTTTACTACAAGAATTTGAAGAAAGAATCTGAAACATCTTGGACAGTCCTTGGACATCTTGAAACATCCAGATGCTTAACTAATTCTTGGAGGAGATTATAATTCTATTTGGGATAATAATCTAGACTGTATTCCTCCTCGTGGAAATAGTTTAAATAATTTCAATGAATTACATAACTTGTGTTTAGGACTGTTTTTAATCGATATTTGGAGGATCAGAAACCCAACTAAACAAGAATTTACATGGTGTTCTAGTGACAGGAGTAAACAATCTAGAATAGACTTTTGGCTCATATCCAGTGTATTAGAAAATCAAGTAAGCCAGGTTACTGTGGAAACATCTGTCCTTACTGACCATAAAGTCATTTATCTAGTTATTGACTTATCTGGAAATGCTAATAAAAATATAAGAACACAAACACACTGGAAATTAAATAAGGCAATATTGGAAGATGACTTGTTTAAAAAGGAAGTTAAAAATATTATTTTGAGTTGTTGGAACAATGCAAAAAGTTCAAATAAGTATGGTACCTATTGGGAGTACCTTATAAGGAAGCAAGCTATTGTTAGAGGAAAAATAATAGCACAGTCTAAAAGGACTAGAGAGGAACAAGTAATAAAAGAGATAGTTAATTTGACAAATATTAATGTAATGAATCAGCAGGACAATCTCAGGTTATTTGAATTACAGTTACAATTAGATGAGATGTATGAATATAAAGCCAAAGGGGCATTTGTAAGGTCTAGAGGAAAATGGCTTGAAGAAAGGGAGAACAACTCCAGGTACTTTTTTAATTTAGAAAAAAGAAATGCTGAGCTGAATTCTGTATTAAAACTTAATATAAATGGGGAGGTGTCTGAAGATTATGTTAAAATTTCTAATTATATATCAACCTTTTATCAGACGTTATATAGCAAAGAAGATGATGGCAATACAAGACTTCTTTTTTTTTTTTAGAAAGCATTAAAGCAAATGCCAAATGTATAGATCAAATGTATAGATTTCGTGCAACAAAGATATTTCTATAGAAGAAGTTAGATTTGGGATCAGTAAATTAAAAGACATGAAATCTCCCAGTAACGATGGTTTGGTCAGCGAATTTTACAAGGAATTTCAAGAACAATTATCTGAGTTTTTACTATGTGTGTTTAATGAAGCTATAGAACGTGGTGAGTTACCTCCATCTTGGGATCAGTAAATTAAAAGACAATAAATCTCCCGGTAACGATGGTTTGGTTAGCGAATTTTACAAGGATGTGTGTTTAATGAAGCTATAGAACGTTAATGAAGCTATAGAACGTTAATGAAGCTATAGAACGTGGTGAGTTACCTCCATCATTATGTCAGGGATTGATTAGTCTGATACCAAAAGCTAATAAGGACACTACCCTAATAGACAATTGGAGACCTATTACATTACTCAATAATGATTTGTTAAGGTGATCACCATTATTTTTGCAGAAAGATTTAAAAAATGCTTAGAGCAAATTATAGATGATTGCCAATCAGGATTCATGAAGGGCAGACATATAAGTAATAATATTAGTTTAGTCCTAGATTTAATTGATTATAATTAAGTATATTGATAGTGAAAGTTTTGTATTTTTTGTAGATTTTTATAAAGCATTTGACACCGTTAACCTTTGGGACTTTGGATTTTTTTGGCTTTGGTGATTTCTTTAAAAGGGCCATTTATACTTTATATAATGGGTGTAATAGCTCAGTAAAACTTGCAAATGGCACTACCCCCAGATTTCTCTTAGAAAGAGGCATAACATAAGGCAGGGATGCCCAATATCTTCTTTTTTATTTTTACTTGTAACCCAGACAATGACTCTTTACATTAACAAATATAATTTTCACGGAATCAGGATTTATAAATAAAAAAATAAAATGCTGTCAATTAGCAGATGATACAACAATATTTGATAGAGATTCATTAGAAATTAAAAATGTGACTGATTGTTTGAATGACTTTTCATTGGTTTCAGGGTTAAAATTAAATTTAAACAAATGTGAGTTGTTCCCTCTGAAAAATTGTGAACTTCTTGATATTAATGGCATCCCTGTATGAACGTTGCTACCTATTTAGGAATCAAAATATGTAAAGATGAAAAGGAAAGGGGACAGCTTAATTTTCAACCTGTGGTTCAAAAAGTTAAAAATCGATTTAATTTATGGTTAATGAGAGACCTGTCAATGAACGGTAGAATTATTTTATCAAAAACTGAATGTTTATCTCGTCTGCTCTATCCTGCTATTTCACTAGAAGTCCCTAATAACACTTTCATTGGTCATTGGCCTTCACTGGTTTTAATCAAATGTGAGTTGTTCCCTCTGAAAAATTGTGAACTTCTTGATATTAATGGCATCCCTGTAAAGAATGTTGTTACCTATTTAGGAATCAAAATATGTAAAGATGAAAAGGAAAGGGAAAGGGGACAGCTTAATTAAAAAAAAAAATCAATTTAATTTATGGTTAATGAGAGACCTGTCGATGAACGATAGAATTCTTTTATCAAAAAATAAATGTTTATCTCATCTGCTCTATCCTGCTATTTCACTAGAAGTCCCTAATAACATCATTAAAGAAATAGATAAAAATCTTTACAATTTCATTTGGAGAAATAGATCTCATTACATTAAAAAAAAGGTACCTTAACTAATTCGATTGGTAATGGAGGCTTAAATGTGCTCGACTTCAGCACATCAAATGCATTTTTAAAGAATAGATGGATCAAGAATTACTTTCAATATAAAAATAAAATTTGGTATTTAATTCCTAATCTAATCTTTAAAAAAAAAAAGATGGGTGGTGTTGCTTTTCTGTTGCAATGCAACTTTGAAATAAGTAAGATTCCAGTTAGATTAAGTAATTTTCAGAAGCAGGTGCTACTCTCATGGATGCTTATACAGTGGGGAAAAAAAGTATTTAGTCAGCCACCAATTGTGCAAGTTCTCCCACTTAAAAAGATGAGAGAGGCCTGTAATTTTCATCATAGGTGTACCTCAACTATGAGAGACAAAATGAGAAAAAAAAATCCAGAAAATCACATTGTAGGATTTTTGCATAAACCTTTGTTTTTTCAAAAATGGGTAGACGATGGTATTATATTTGTTAAACAGTTATTTAATGAAAATGGGCACCTGTATACCTACATAGAATTTCTTCAAAGGTATAATATTCCAATAATCCCTAAAGAATATTGTATAGTGTTTGATGCTATACCATCCGGACTAAAATGTCTGTTTAAAGGAAATGTGAATAAGGAGACTGTGAGTCTCAGACCTGATGTTGCAATTAACGGAGTTACTATTAATGATAGAAAATGGAATAATTACTTTATCAGGAAGTTACTGCTCCCCATGATGATCGCCCACCTCTGTGTTTATTAGGGAAGAGCGTCCTAAGATCAACAATATTGCTTTGGCCTTGACATCACCGCTGTGCTATTTCATATTCAATGCGTGTTCCTTTGTTTATGTGCATATTTGGGACTCCAGAGTGATTATCA